GATCTATTGGTTCTTTTGGCAGCCCATGGCACTTTCAATATTCTCCAACACCACAACTCAAAAGCATCAATTCTTCTACGGTCATCCTTATTCACTGTCCAGCTTTCACATGCATATGAGGTTATTGAAAATACCATGGCTTGGGGCCATGACATAAAGGATTGCTATGAATTAGAATCAATTTGATGGCAGTGGGTTTTGTTGGGTTTATGTTTTGGTTTTGGTTTTGTTGGTTTTTGTTTGTTTCTTGATAATCAAAGGAGCATGGTTGTGCAAAAGTTAAACCCTTGAACCTTTAGCTGAAAAGTTGGAAGTTCAAACTAACTCAGCAGTTCTACAAGAGGAAGACCTGGCAATTCACTTACATAAAAATTATAATCTAGAAAATCTTGTGGGCAGGTTTGCTGTGAGTTGAAATTGATGCCATGGCACATAACATCATTTGATGACCCTTTGACATGATGGTTTAATGAAAGAAATTAAGCTTTTTAAATTCTGCTTATTTCAGGCATTTGATTCTACTTTTACATTTACTGATGAGACTTAAAGAATTACAATCAAATTAAGTTAAGAGAAGATGCCTCTGGGACCTAGTAGCTGTTGGTTTTAATGCTATACCTGCTCGGGGGAATAATATTCTTTTCTTTGGTGTTGGTTATATGTGCCTTTCCAGTTCATGCCAACTCATAGCAACTCTTTTTACGTACAACAGTATGAAAAACTTCCAAGTCCCATGCCATCCTCTCAATCATTGCTAGGTTTGAGCCCAGTGTGGCAACCACTATGTCAGCCCATCTTATTGAGGCTCTTCCTCTCTTTTGCAGATCTTTACTTTACCGAACGTGATGTCCTTTTCCAAGAACTGGCCTTCCTGATGACATGTCCAAAGTATATGAGACAAAGTCTTGCCTTCTAAGGAACATTCTATGTGTACTTCTTCCAGTAAAAGTTTGTTTTTCTTGAAGTTCCTAATATATTCCTTATTCATTGGCCAACTGTCACAAATGAGACAATTGAAAATGTCATAGCTTGGGTCAGGGGCACCTGAGTGACGTCTTTGCTCAAGGCAGTATGTCAAGGGGGAAAATATCCTGACTGTTGCATTGATTGAGTCCAAGTAAAAGGAAATCCTTTACTATTTCTATTATATTTTCTCCCATTTATCATAGTCTGTTTGTGATGATTTTTTTTTCTTTATGTTGAAGTATAATCCCTACTGCAGGTTGTAGTCTTTGATCTTCAAGTCCTCTTTGATTTCAGCAAACAAAGTTGTGTCATCTACATATTGCACGTGGTTGATGCAACATTCCTCAATCCTGATACCATATTCTTCTAGTTTCTCAGCAATGGTTGTGAGGATGGAACAGGATTGGACAGTGTTTTTTCTGTTGTACAAAGCATCACTAGGAGTCAGAAGCAATTCACAGGAACGTTAACAACAACTGGATTTGTACAAGGCAATTAAATCATTTGGTTTTAGCTTGGAGGTGAAGATGATTTTGTTTGTGGTCTTTGCATTTTCTATCAAGAGGTCCTCAAACTGGGTTACGCACAACCCTGGAAGTAAGCAAAGTTTGAAAAGTTTCCAAATTTTCAATTTTCAAATGTATTCTTTCTTACTAATAGCCCTTTTCCTACTTAACAAAATGAAATCTCTCATCATTCTGAACGTTTCAAAATGAAATCTCTCCTCACACTGAATGCTATATGAGATGCAAAACCCTCTTGCTGTTGTGTTCAGTGCTGTCAAATCAGTTCTGACTGTGCAGGGTTTCTTAGGCTGTTATCTTTGTAGGAGAAAGGACCTCATTTTTCTCCCTTGGAGTAGCTGGTGGGCTCGAATTGTTAACTCTGTGGTTTGCTTATTTTACAGAGCAACTTCTAGGATATCCAAAAAAAGAAGTAACTCCAAATTGTATACATGTGAAGAAAATATTAATATTTATGAAATCTTTTCAAAGTGAGGTGGTATACAATTCTTTGCTTTGAACTGAAAAAAAAAAAAAGACTGAATTAGGTTAGCTAACAGATCATTAGCAATCTATACTGAAGGCTGTGGTCAGTCTTTGATCTTCATCTGTATTTTGAGTCCTCTTCACCCACAGCAATCAAGGCTGTGCCATCTGCATATTACAAATCATTTATGAGTCATCCTTCAATTCTGATGCTACATTCTTCATAAAATCCAGCTCCTCAGGTTATTTGGTCAGCATACAGATCAAATAACTATAGTAAAAGAATACAGCCCTGGTGCACATTTTTTTCCTGTTTTTAAAGCATTCAGTGTCCCCTTGTTCTGTTCTAATGACTGACTCTGTCTATGTACAGATTCCTTATGAACAAAATCAAGTGTTCTGGAATTCTCATTCTTCACAATGTTATCCATAGCTTGTCATGATCCACAGTCGAAAACCTTTGCAAAGTCAATAAAGCACACATAAACATCTTCCTGGTATTCTCTATTTTCAACCAAGATCCATCTGAGGTTAGCAATGGTATCTCTAGTTCCACATCCTCTAAAGAATCTGGCTTGAGTTTCTGGAGGTTCTCTGTACTGTTGCAGCTGTTTTAAAATTATCTTCCAGTAAAATTTTACATGCATGTGATTTTAACGTTATTGTTGATAATTTCCACATTTCATTGGGTCACTTCTCTTTAGAATGGGCACAAATTTGGATCACTATTGGTGTGGCGCTGTGGGCTAATGCGTCAGACTGCAGTCTTTTGAACTGCAAGGTTGGTTGTTCAAGCTCACCAGCTGCTCCTTGGACACCTATACAGGGTCACTATGGGTCGGAACTGACCCGACAGCACTTCACAACTAATAGGTTGGCCAGGTAGATGTCTTCCAATTTTTTGACATAGATGAATGAGTTTCTCCAGTGTTGCATCAGTTTGTTGAAAGATTTCAATTTGTAATTCATCAATTCCTAGAACCTTGTTTTTTGCCAACACCCTCAGTGCAGCTTGGACTACTACTTTCATTACCATTGAGTCTTGGTCATATGCTACCTCTTGAAATGGCTGAACATTGACCATTTCTTTTTGGTATAGTGACTGTATACCTTCTATCTTCTTTTGACACTTTCTGTATCATTCAATATTTATCCAAGGAATACTTCAATGCTGCAAGTTGAGGCTTTAATTTTTTATTTCGTTAAGTTTGAGAAATGTTGAGCATGTTTCGTCTTTTTTGGCTTTCTAACTTCAAGTCTTTGAACATTTCATTATAATACCTGACTTTATTTTCTCAAGCTGCCCTTGAAATTTTCTGTGTAGCTCTGTGACTTCCTCATTTCTTCCATTAGCTTTATTAACATCTGTATACTGGGGAGCAAGTTTCAGTCTCATCTGATATCCATATTGAACTTTTCTTTCTTTCCTGT